CTATATATAATCGTTATCCGTTTGCTTTACCGGAATATACGGACTACGCTACCTTCGCACCCTATTTAAGGCGAGCCTTCTAAGCTCTTTCTTCTACTCGAGTACTAACTAACTTACTACCGCCTACCCCCCCCCCCCCCTCTTCTATCTAAACCCTTTAATTATTATTAATAAGCTACGAACGTTTTTACAAGCTCGTTACTAACTCCTTTCCGCTCCGGTCGACTAAGATGTCTTCCGGCGCCCTAAATCCGCTAGGCGCTAGCAGTAGTAGCAACCTACTAGCCCTAAACCTAGGCGTACTAGTCCCGATCGAAGCCCCCTCCGATAGCGCCTTAGCTACTGTAACTAGCCTCGAGCACTGCTTCTAGATCGTTACCGCCCTTAAAGACCCTTAAGAGAAGATCTAGAACGCTCGTACCCTACTACGCGTTATTAATAGGAATATTAAGAAGGCTGCTATCTTAGTTACGTACGGTATAAACAACTTGCGTTAGTCTATCGGTAAGCGTATCTTTAAGCGCGAGGTCCTTAACGATATAGATATCGAACAAGCCTTTCCTATCGTCTATAGCCTCGAGACGGCCGGCACCTAGATTCGCTTGCGCTTTAAGACCCTCGACTAGGCCTTCGAATATTAGGGAGGATTAAGTAGTCTTCCTAAGAGCCTTGTTAACTTCGCCTATAGTAGATAAGAGCGTGCAAAGCAGGTCTCTTCGTTCGTTAATAAGTATAAGGTCCGTCGTTAAGGCGCTAAGCACCTTTCCTATACTATAATCTATCGTATATCTACCGCTAGTAAGAAGGTAGGCAAGTAGTTACTTAACTTGTCCTTTGCGCTTAACGACTTTACGATATCCTACTAGAAGCGGTACTACGATGCAATTATCTAGATCGATCTTAATGTATAGACAACTAAGGATCTACTAAAAGAAAAGGGCTATCGCATTAATAGTACAGGTTTTATTATTAAAGGTTAAGAGGCTCCTATCGTTGATGTCCTTAAACGTAAGGCTCTTCGCCTAGAAATAGAGGCCGATACGGCTACTAGTCTCGCGCTCGCTGCGGAGATATAGGCTTAAGACCGTCGCTCGACCCGCAACCGTAAGGTCCCTTAGGAAGTTAAGGACGAGCGCGCTAAGGCCGAAGTAGCGCGTAAGAAGGCATTGCATACTCGCTAGGCCCTCCGTAAGGCTACTAAGAAGTATAGCGCCCCTTCTAGGGCTAACTATAGTACTAACTATAGTAACTCAGATATTAATATACTAGATATACTACTAGAAGATGTCTCCTCCGAAGGCTCCTTTAGCGAGCGTAGAGATAGAGGGCTCTCGCCGATCCTATTAACTAAGAACATCTATAGTTCTTATAAGGGCGACTCTATTGCGTACCTTATTACTAAGATCGATATAGTTCCTAAAGCCGATATAGGCAAAGCTCCTACCGCCCTATCTATCTATTAATAGCTCGACGACCTTAGTAAGCTAGGAGAAGAGCCGTTCTCTATATATGCTAACTATGTTAAGAAGGCCGCTAAGGTCTGTAGTCTCTATACTAGTGCTAAGGCGATTGTCTTCGTCGGCCGCCTATTAAAGATTAGTCGCGAGGTTCCTAATTAAGACGCCTTCGCTGCCCTTAAGGCTAATTAGGCCTATACTAACTAGTTTCCTAGACGCCCTATTGCCGCCCCGACATCTCTAGGACTCTACGCGTTCAACCCTACTAGTACTGTTACTCGCGCCCTTACGCTAACGGATCGCTAGAGCAAGTTCGTTACTAGCATCCTTAGCTAAGGCACTTCGTTCGACCGCTTTCGCTAGACTAGTAATGCTATCTTCCCTTAAGTCTTTAGCTAGTTATAAGAGCCTCGTAGAGCATATCTTCCTTTCCTTATCGACCTAATATAGGAGGAGTTTAAAATATACCTTTAGTATATGCGTACGATGCCTAAGTCTAAGTAGGAAGGCCGCAATGCCCTTTAAACTTATAGTATAAGTAACTAAATCGTCCGCTAGTACCCTGCCCTATAGCTCTTAGCTGTCGCCCTTCGACCTAATTACGTATACGAGCTTATCTCTATCCCTAAGCCTACTAAGTTCTTTAAGGTTAGCGGTACTTATAAAAACTGTCCTTCTAGGGAGTCTGCTCGTCTTAGATAAGATATAGTTAAGCTCGTAGCTAGCGAGGGTGCTAGTTACCTACGCATTAAGGTCTGTCTTATATCTAAGGATAAGACTAGCTACTCTACTATTATCGAAGGCATGCATTAGCCCGAGGTCTTTACGAACTAGGTTAAGAAGCTTAAGGCTCGAGGCCTAGTCCCGCTAAGCAAGATCGGCAAGCTTACTAATAAGTACCTTACCGACGACGACCTCGACTATATATTCGATAGTTAGCCTAATAGTAAGGGGCGTAAGGCGGAGTAGATCCTTAACCCTCTAAAGGAGTGCGAAGTCTCTATTTAGATGCTATACCTACTATATAGTAATCTGAAAACTAAGAGCAACCGTATATTAATTAACCTAGGCTACTCTCGCGTTATCGACAGCACTAAGATTAAGGGTTACGATAACTTAACCGTCGCCGAGGTTGCTAAGGCGTACCGCAATCTAACCGCCCTTCTAGGTTCGAATACCTTCGTACCGTTCCCCTTCCCTGCCGCTATCTTAGTCGAAGGCCTTAGTTGCATCTCTAACGCCCTAGTTAGTAGGATTCCTTAGTTAAGTTACGTTGTTTAGAACGAAGTTAAACAGATCCTCTAGCTTAATAACGAGGGACTTAAGGAATATCTATATAATTAGGAGAATGCTACGAAGGAAAAGGCTACTAACCTCCTCGTTAATCAAGCTTTCTACGAGGGACAGTACTTCGGTACTAACAGCTTTAACGCATATAGAGGAGATTTCGAGAACCGACTAGTAGATAAGGTTATTGCTAATAAGGATTACAGCGCGTTAAAGCAACAGTAGGTCTGTATAGTGTTACTTAGGAAGTTGTTTTTACATAATTATAGTATCTAGGATTAATGCTACCCCGGGGGTGTTATTGCGGAGTTCTAAAAATAGCCTTAGCTAAGAACGCTAAGGATGCATATATGTTTGTTTTAAGCGCGCAATATGAAGCGTGTCTAGTTAGATACGAAGAAAGAGAGGGATATTAGCTAGTAACCGGCCCTACACCTATAGGGCAGTTTTAAGCCTATATAAGAGGCCTCCTTCTACATTGTAGATAGGGCATCAACCTCGTATAGTACATTGTTTATGTCACACTTCTATAATGCCTATATTGCAGGGCTCTAGTTATTAGCCTAAGCGACAGTCTCGTTATCCTATCTTGCTAAACATAGCTGCCTATATTGCTATAGGTTATGTTACCCTCGGTAGCCTATACTATTGCTACAAGTAGTAGTAGTAGTATTAGTTTCTATCCTTTATTAGCGAAGGAGGTAGTAAAGGCAGCCGGCGAGGAGGTATCGAGTTCTAAAGCTAAAGTGCCTTTAGATTAGTTTAATTTCGAGAGAGGTAATAGCGACGCCGATATAGATATAGATAATAAGTAGCAAGGCGTACGTAGAGACACGAGATAAAGGCAAAGCCTTTATCTAGATTTAGTCGATTAAGCCTATTTCTACGAAAAGCACGCTAGTAAAAGTAATTAACGCGATAACGACCGTAGCTTCTAATTAGCTAACTATAAGGCGAAAGCTTCGCTCGCACTTCTAGGCACGCGTAGCCGCCTAGGAGCACATTTTATTGCTTTGTAATAAGCCGGCTATTATAATAAGGGGTAATACTAATAATATATTATAGGCCCCTATAGTACGGATATAGCGGCGTTAGCGAGTATCGGTCTAGTATAATTAACTTAGTATAATAGGCCGTATAGAAGGCCTCGCTTAATAATTAGTATAGTTATTCTAATAGAGTAGTACGTATAGGTTCCGCCTCGGGCGTAATATAGTTAGATTAACGGTTTTCGTAGCTATACCGCTAAAAGCTTAAAATAAGGACTATCTAGCTACTGCCCTTAAAGGGTAGATCGAATACTATATAAGAAGGATATATTAGTAGGTAGATAGGGTAGTAGTCGGTATAAGTAGTATTCGATAAGGATCTAGGAGGAGAGGGAGGAAGGTAGGAGAGTTAGCCTAACGCCAAGCGCCAAGCCCTGCCTGAGGCATCAAGACCCTGGCTTCACTCGGCCTAGTTATATACTAATTACTAATTACGTGTAGCCTCTTTAGCCCTAACAACGACTTCCGGCGGTAGTAACGTATAATAAGACATCGTAAGAGGCTGGATTTAATAGCGGTAAGACCTTGTATAGGCATTATCGTACTTAAAGGTATAAAGAAGTCTAATCTCGAAGATCTACGAGGGTTACAAACCTATAGTTCTTGGCAGTCTCAACCTTCCTGCAAAGCACAGTACTATTGCATACGCACCTCTGACACTGAGCTATTACTTTGTTGTCGCTGCAAGCACGTTCCGTTTGATCGATATGCGGCCCATTGATAAGTCATTATTGCTCAAGTACAGTCGAGAATGAACAGGAACAGTCCTTTTGCTGGTGAGATGAGATGTTGGTCGTATGGTGGCGGTGGCGGTGCACGTCCCGAGCAGTGAAGGGAAGGAAAGCTGTACGCACATTATGACTGATCTCGGCGTCCTACTCCAATCCAACTCCTCCACAGTCAATTGCGGATGAAGCTGGTGGATGAAGGAAACTTCTCCCTACAACTCGTGTATCCTGACCTTATACAAGTCCCTCTCGCCTATCTGTCCATGCCCGTCTTTCTCCATCTCATTGAGCACCGCCTCCAATTCCTGGTCAGCATTCACATGCATGCCGCTCAGAATTTTGGCCCTTGAATCCGCACACAGTGCCACCATGAAGTTCGCTGGCACCTCCTGCACCGTAAACTTGCCAGAAGCTCCAGCTTCTTTAATGTGATCCATGAATGCCACCATGGCCGGATGCTCTGAAGCATCTCTGTTGATGGCATTCGTTGCTGATCCGAGTTCTGTACCTCCGACCATTCCTGGATTGACAGCGAAAGACAGGATTCCCGAACCAGCAAGCTCGGGCGTAATCGATTCGTGGAACTTTGAGATTGCCGCTTTGGAAGATGCGTACGCCGACATACAGGGCAGTGCCATCGAAGCCACTGCTGACGATACCGTCATAATGATCCCAGTCTTTCGCGCTTTCATTGAGGGAAGCACTGCGTGGATGAGTGAGACTGGTGCTAACACATTGACCTCGTAGCATCTCCACCAGATCGAGAGGTCTTTCTCTGCATCGAGAGGAGAGAGGCGCGTGATTCCGGCATTGCTGATCAGGATGTCGATTGGTCCAAGCTCTCTCTCAACGCTTGAGACAATGTGAGCTGGAGTGCCTGGCTGGGAAACGTCTGCGGCCACGGCAGTGGCTTTCCCACCTTCGGACCTGATCTCTTCGACGAGCACCTTGAGATCGTTCTCGCGACGGGCTATGCAGGCTACTGATGCACCTGCCGCTGCGAAAGCTTTGGTTGTTGCTCTTCCAATTCCTGCGCTTGCACCTGTAATCGCTACCTGAGGCCTGTCGTCAGTATGATGTTGATTACACCTCGTCAAATCACCTACAACTTTGCCCTCCAGCTTGCCAGCATACTTGGCAGGAGTGATAAAATCGTAAGATTCATATACCCTAGGAAGAGGCATTGTGGTCCGGTATTTCCTTTTCTGAATGATATTTCTTTCTGGCGTTTTGAAGCTGTTGCTACTGTCTCGTATACGGATGGATGATGGAGTGCTTGATTTTTCGATTGCCTTCGGCAGACCTTTATATATCCTGCATGTCCTCGGGCAGGATGATCAGTATGAATGTCCGCTCTCTTAACTCCATTCTCGGTCAGGATGCAGTCTGTGCTGAATGCGAAAGCGCGCGAATGCCAAGTAGATCTATGCCCATTGCGGCATGCAAGTTGCAACAGTATGCCACATCCTCCGATCCTCCAGCTCCGGACAGCCTTCCACGCTGTTTGCAACTTCAGCTTTGACGATACACAGTCGTTGTCGGTTGACTTAGTATTTTCACTAGCATTTTCGGGTGCAGAGAATGCCCTCGACGAGGCCATGATGACCAAAGTCGGCCGCATTGTGCAGGCAGATCGTGTAATCGTCTCAACAATGAGCTTCGTAAGTGTGCCTGACTTCTGCCCTCTTATCTCCCCTTGCCAATCAAGCGTCGCCTCTTGTATGGTGGCAAGTGACTTTCTCCGTCGCTGTCAGAGCTCAACACATCCCAGGCGTCTGCTTCATGTTCTCTTTCGGCGTCCTCGTGCTCTTATTCAACATCGATGACAAAGCGAACGCTCCGCATCTCTGAAGGTCGCTTACGAGGCTGAGCTGGCACAGTCGTAGGTGATGGGCTTTTCCACTCGAAACGACATAAGCATCGGCTGCACTTGATCATCTTGCTGGGCAATTCGAGCTCAATCAGACACGCGCAATTGGGACAAGATTTCATATCTCCATCTCGCTTCATCCGCTCGATCAGCTGTGTTGACAGCACTTCCTCGTTCTTCATTCTAGTCACCTCTGGTAAGCGCTGGTATTCTTCGCAGGTGGTTCGTGCCTCATGCTCGGGTGTGTGGCAGTCAGTGCAAGTGATTTCATCACACTGCGAGCAAAGACCGTGCCTATCAGGCCTTAATTGGTGACGACATTCCGGGTTCAGACACCAGTGTAGATTGGGTAAGTTGTCGCGGTTAATTCGACTTGCGATGTAGCCATAGCGCGCATAGTCCGGGAAGCGGGCAAGACGCTGAAGGTCAGATCGGCCGTGAGCGACTGAATCGCACCCAGGTACTGGACATTCGACGCGAGTTTGATATTGTGTCGCCACCGCAGTCGCAATCCATGTTTCCCAACAGGCTTCGCAAACGTTATTTTCGTGTGCGCATTGCTCGATGGGCTGGCGCGGGAAAAATGCCGCGCCGGATTTGACCTGCCAACAGGAGATGCAATACCTGGTCGTGGCGTGCGCGCGCCGAGTCGATACCATAATTTCGCCTTCGCTGGTATTCCTTGACCGTGATGGGCATAGAAATGAGAAGAGGAGCCTAGCTTTTAGGTGGAGAGAAATGATGTCTTGCAGCGTTTGCTGCAGGAAGTGAACGGCGTTGGAACCATGTCTTTCACAGGCTCACTTCGTGATCTCACACTCATCACGAGACATCGCAACTATCCTGCCACAGCATCCAACTCAAAGTGCCGTACTACGCCTTCTGGAAGCTTGTCTCTCGCCAGCTCCTCCGGCCAATCCGGCGTTCCGTGTGCCCGCATGAGCGCCTCTACGGCTTCCTCGAACGCGTCGTGCGACATCAGAAAATCTGCAGTCTCCTTAGACCTGCCGATCGCCACTACCTCTGGCAAATGCCCTCGATAGTTCTGCCCAATGTGATTCTCAACGGCTCATGGGCTGAAGCCGGGCCGCTCTGATGCCGTGTTTGATAGTGTCTGGATCGTTGCATCTCGAGGCATGCCAGGGGGTTGCCATGATGCGAAGAGATGGTTCAAACTGACTTCTGCGTAAAAAGAGCGGGACAGCAAGACTTCCAATGCGACAGCGTCTTCCAACGCAGAGTTCCCGCCGGCGGCATGCATCCACAGCATAGGATGTGCAGCATCGCCAATAGTAATCGCGCGATGGTTTTGGTGATGAGGAAGGGTATCTCGGTCCATCTCGTATTCTCTCACTTCGACAGCACTGTCCAGTACGTCTTGATTAGTGTTGTTGCTGTGCTCCAAAACGGCCTTCGCCTCCTGCAGATCTTAGGGAATCTTCCAGCGATCCTCAATGCCCTCTTTCATCTTCGAAAGATGAGAGATCAGGAAGTTCAGCATGCTGTTTCTTCGGCAAGGATGTACAAAGACTTCTTTTCTAATTCTTGGATCCATATAGCCGCAATTCTGCGGCCAGTCTGAAGCTCCAAGGCTTCGTCGGCCTTGGGCTGCTTGGGCACCAAGCTCGTACGATACAAACCGCGCCCAGATCTTACATGCGCATGGCCGCGCCAAGCTGGTTGTACTCTGACGCCTTTCGAACGCGACTGCTTCATGTCCAGCTGGGAGCCATATTGGTAAGATGGTGTATGATATGACACGCCGTGTATAACTTTCCGAGCAACATGGCCTACATACAGCTGTGCAGTCCAAGTGGCACCAATCTTGTGTGTGCGACTGGCTATGCTTTTGGAAAGGCAAGTGGAACAAGTTCGTCGGCCGGTCACGGAAAATGGAAGGCGATATGAAATGAAGCAGTGCTACGATCATGTGGAAAGGGAAGGGACGGGCGAGGTACATGCAGTTCCATCGGCCGGTGTCGGATGAAAACAAGCATTGCGAATCCTCCCGAAATAGATACAGACTTTCGATTTTCGACCTCACCTCTTCCATACCAAGATCTTTTTGTGACGCTTGGCCCCGTGCTGACAAGATGGCGCTCGATGCATTCGTTATCCGACTTGGAAGTTCTCGAGGGACCATGCGGATGCCGACGAACTGTAAGAGCTCAATCCTTCGCGATAGGCCATGGTATCTGGTATGAGTCCAAGACCGTAAACATCACGCGCGATCGAAAACTTGTGATGACAAGACACGCGAAGAGAAGACGTTGAGTGCTATAAAGTGGAGAGTCGATATTCGAGATGGGACAGTAGTCTGATCGGCGGCAGTCCAAGCCTGCGCGTCCAGAGGAAGAATGAAGATGAAGAAAGACCACCAAGATTGCTTCAGTAGAACATGCTGAGACGAGGAAAATCTTGCAGGCACATGTGCATGAGCTGTCACTGTCATTGCAGAACTCAAGACTTGGTATTGGGCTGCGTACGGAATTTGATGAGGCGAGTTCCCATGCGTGGGCTAGACTGGCTCTATGGACAACGACGGTGTCTGCGCCCATGGCGCAGGGACTGATTGTAGACCGGAGTGCTGAGGCCATGAGTTGTGGTCTTTCATCCGTGAAGGGAAGGACATACAGTAGAATCTGATGCTGGGGTCGCCATCTCTGTCAGTAAGGCTGCATGGGAGACCAATCCTACAGACTCTGCATCGCGGGGGAAGGCTGCTGGTGTATCTCACAACTGCTTGCTAAAGACTACTCTCTAATGAAGTAAAGAAGCTATCGAGACTGGTCTAAGACTTGCCCGCGGGCAGGGCGATCATTTCCGCGGTTCTCTCGTCCTCTCCCCGCGGCCTTCCCTTTCACCGCTGCTATACCACTCCCCCTCCTCCTCCTCGCTCCTACTCGCCCCTCTCAGGCACACATGAGGCAACCTTCCGCGACCTCGCCGCCTCTTCCTCTTCGTTCCTTCACTGCTCCCATCGTACGATTTGGACCTTCCGTGGGACTCACTTTGCGTCATCGAACTGCAAAACTTCACTTCACCTGCATCCATGACCACAATTACGCCGTGAAATGAACTTCTGAGCAGGGCGGTGATTATTAAACTGGTTGCTGCCTTGCACTAGAAAACCTTAATTGCGCTTCGATTGATTGCAGACCTCACAGTCCACCTATAAATATTGCCGCAAACGTGAACTTTCTTCCTTACATCCATCACCTCAACAATCCACTTCTTCATTACAATCATTCATCTTCTTCTACCACCTACACTCACCACCATCAACAACAGTCATCCACCAGTGTTGGACAGCATTATCACCATCAAGGTTGGCTTAAGGTAAGCCACTCACTGACACTACCACTCACCTTCCTTACTGACCTTGCGCAGTCTCACCTACAACCATTCAATCGCATCAAATCAACCATACCAGCTCAACCTCACCAGCTTATTTTCACCAAGCCACCCTCATCAAGTCAACCCACATCAGGTCTGTCAGAACTGACTGCACCAGCTTCATTTTCTCACTGACATCGCACAGCGACAGCGCAGCAGACCCATCACATCACCGACAGCTCATCAGGTGGTCAGCGCGCCATCAGCCTTGGTTTGCTCCTTTCGACCTACTCCACAACGGCCGACTGACTTCTTGCAGCGACATCTCCGCCTGCTTCGCCGTCACTCCCAGTAGGCGCTGCCCGACCGTGGCAGCTTTCACCACCTGCACATCCATCGATACGTCCGCCAGACACGACACCATCGCGACCCTTCCGACATGCGAGATTCCATCCACACCAACATCACAACCAGAACATCATCCAATCACCAGTCACACCACTTTCAAGCGAGACCATCAATAATACGTAACTCACCGAATCACCATTGCACGGAGGCGTGCAGGCGGCGGGAGACACCGAGAGCGAGAGTTGGCAAGAGCAGAGACGGCGACGGTGGTTCCAGCGAGCAGCGAGCAATGGCATGAAAGCGTGAAGGGGCGGTGGGCAATGGGCATGAGTACAAAATACATTGAGTTGGGACATGACACATGATACACGACCATTGCTTAGCGCCAATGGGTGTGCGAAAGGCTGCCAGGTACAACTCCGGCGCGTGCGGCGTCTCTAGCAGGGTGGTGTTCGAACGTGGGTATCACACCCACGCACTCGTTCTTGCCTTCATGCCTTCAATGGAGATCCGTGCAGCACAGCTGCGATATACTGTTGTGACATCCACACCGTCTCGAGTCAACTGCTGGGCGCTGAGTGTACTCAGTCAGGTCAAAGGCAGCTCTGCCTCAGCGGCATTGGTCGTCCGTATCATCTGTGTCTCGGCGTAAGATGCGGCAGCAGGGCTTTGGGTCCGACGACAACATCCACACGACTTGGACGACTTGAGAAATAGATTGGACTGGCGTGGGTGTCAGCGATGCACGACTTCGCAACTGGTAGAATTTCATGCTCTCGCTGCTCGCTGGCTTTTCAGGTGGTGGTGTTGACAGTGGCGACGGTGTTTGACAGGCGCGCAGGTGGCCGGCCTGCGGTGTATCTGTATTCAATTGGTGCAGTGGTGGTGCTCTCGCTGGCCTTTCGGTTGGTATCAACGAAAATCAAAGTGATTTGCGAACCACATCTGCTTCAATTTGTCTTGTTCGACATGTCGTTCTCCTCAATTGCCCTGAGTGTGTTTTTCGATCCGTGTCTGCGCTGCGCCCTTGTAGTTCAGTTGTGATGTTGATAAAAGTCATTGCACGCGTAGTGATGAAGTTGTGAACAGAGTTTGGACTCACCGGCTCGTCGGCGAGTCAGAATGCCAAGCAAAAGCGAAGCATATATAGCGCGGCCGCCGCAATTGATAGCAAAAAGGTCGATGAAGTGCTCGCCTGGCCTCGCCTCGACCTAGATGGCGAAGCACAAGAAGCGCAAGCTTCAAGGCCAAGGCCATCCTTCCAAGCCTTCGAAAGGCGCATTCAAGCCTTTGAAAGCAAAAGTCGCACGCGCCGCACATAAAGCGCAACCCACGATTCCTTTCCAGCCCGAAGATCGAATCTTGCTCGTAGGTGAAGGCGACCTCTCCTTTGCAAAGTCGATCGTTCAAGAGCACGGCTGCTGCGACATCACCGCCACATGCTACGACTCCAAGGAAGTGCTCTACCAGAAATATAATCCGCAGGCTGAAGAGCACGTGAGCTATCTTGAAGAGGAAGGACAGACTGTCTTGTGCGGCGTTGATGCTACGAAGCTGGACAAGAACAAGACTCTCACCAAGTCAGGCGAGCTGTTTCACGTCATCCTCTTCAACTTCCCCCACGTAGGCGGAAAGAGCACAGATGTCAACAGGCAAGTACGATTCAATCAAGAGCTGCTTGTCAATTTCTTCAAAGCCGCCATCCACCTCCTTGCCGCGAGTGGTACGATCGTTGTGACACTATTCGATGCTGAGCCATACACATTGTGGAATATTCGGGATTTGGCGAGACACTCTGGCTTGGAGGTGCAGAGGAGCTTTAAGTTCCTGGCACACGCTTATCCTGGCTATACTCATGCCAGGACTTTGGGCAACATTGATGGCGGTGGCGGCTGGAAGGGGGAAGATCGGGAAGCGAGAAGCTACGTGTTCCAGAAAAAGGACGAGAAAGCTGCCACCAAGAGCGCCCAGATAAACCATGTCGGCGCAAAGAGGAAGAGGCAAGACGTGGATAGTGACCATGAGGCCGATGGCTGAGGCATTGCTTATTCTCAGATCAGAGTCGCTATGGTTTCGCGAAGAAGTTTCAGACTGCGCCCAGACCATTCCTTCTGACTCGTCGACCTTGTTATGGCTTAATGAGCAGCTGGGAGACGTGTGCCTCCTACAGCCGTGTACGCGGACTATTGATGATCGTTGAACAGTTACACGATTCCCTCCAGACAGGCACTTGCAAGAGACCAGAGAGGAAGAACAAGCACTGTCCGGGAAGGCGAAGCTCAATGACAACACCTCTCGTCACCGAGCAGTCGGCTGTCGACCATTATACCACCCAAAATTCTGGCTACTCTACTGGAGGAGACCACAAGTCAAAGCCCGTTCCCGCGCAGAGATACTCTCCGCTATGTCTTCCGTGATGAAAGTTCGGCACCTTGATCATCCTGACTGGCAGGATCGACATGTCCTCCCAAGTTTGCTACGCAGATCGCTTTCGAATCCGAAGACCTGTCGACAAAGAGTACAGCCTCAAACCACATCTCGATTCTTCTGAGATCGAGCGCGATTAGGGAGTAGAGCGCCACTCTTCTAGTGCAGACTATAGGCGGAGGTTGGACTTGAGTTATGGAGGTTACGATAATTGTTTTGCATCTTGAGTTTGCTCAAGGATGAGCCTTTAACCCGCAGGAATAGAGTCGGTGCTGACGTGATACACAAACGCGAGATAAAGTCCGCTCCATTTTGAGTAAAGTCTCTTCCCTATTGCTCGATTTGATGCGATTTTGTCAAGTCCTAAGGTGTTACAAAGGTCTAGCGTCGGCAACGTCGAGTTGCAAGCCAGGACACTCCCGTAGCATTGTACGACAATTTCCGCGCTCTTCCCTAGAATACCGCCTCTGTTGATGCCCATCTGGAAGCCTTCTACCTCTGGGCCTGTGACATTGCTCGACACTTCTCCACTGCAAGGACCGTACGAGCTGGATCGCAGGAGTATTTCGGACCTAGCATTGGTGGCCCGAGGTGCGAACATCCACGCTGCTGCGAATCCCACAATGTGCAATGCTGCGCTCGCCATCAACGCATGCATTGACAGCCTGCTGCGGGCGGAGGCCCAGACCGAAACCTCATGCGGTACGGCATTTGAATCCTGCAGCCTCGTGTTCCCGAGGGAAAAGAGGGGAGATGGGACATGGTCGAGACCTAAGGCGCATATCAAGTCTTATGATTGGAAGGTTGCGCTGGCGACTGCAAGCTGCAGCTGGTCCGCAGATGGTCATGTCAACTCCTGAGGTCATAATTTCATCTTGGGCATTTTTCTCTCTTGGAGGACGACGGACACGGAGGAATATCTGCGGGGGAAAAAGGTGTCGTGGACTTCGAAGGATCATCGGAGGTGTTGTTCGAGATGGGCGCGGGCGGACTTTGCCGATGCCGGCCCATAACAATAAGTAGAACTGTGACCTCGATCTCACCAAGACTTTCTTAGCCAAGGCAAGAGGGTGGAAGTATGACATCTTGAAAGGCTGACTGGCAGTAGAGCATCCATGGACATGGGTGAAGCTCAAGCACGCAAGAGCTAGCTGCCGATCTATTGCGTTCTATGAAGTCGGCGCTTCTTGAACCGCTCGAGACCTTGTGATAATCTCATTGAGGCACTGACTTGCAGGCTAGGATCATACTGCTTCAGAGATTAGCCACAAACCACTGCAAGGGGAGCACTCACCAGACCAAGTTCGAGCGACAATGGCTACAGCGAACAGTAGGCTCTTCAAGCCCATCCGCGTCGGCAAAGTCGACCTCTCCCACCGAATCGTGATGGGTCCTTTATGCAGCAACTTGGCGAACGACGAACACGTGCTCCAAGCGAACGCTGCTGCTGAGTATTATGGCAGTCGGGCACGCGAGCCAGGAACCATGATCATTGGCGAAGCTACATTCATCTCTGCGCGAGCCGGTGGCATCACGGAAAAAAGAGCTGGTATGTGGAACAAAAAGCAGATTGATGGCTGGAGAAGAGCTGTGGAAAGTGTCCACCAAGCGGGCAGCTACATCTTCCTGCAGTTGTGGGCTGTAGGACGCTCTGCTGATCCAGCGGTTAAACAACGCGATGGAACAGGCGACGTGGTCAGTAGTTCTGCTGTCGCAGAAACGCAAGAGGGCCACGTTCCGCGGGCAATGCGTGAAGATGAGATTCAGGTATACATAAACGACTATGTTACGGCTGCGAGGAACGCTATAGAAGCTGCCGGGTTTGACGGCGTAGAGCTTCACGGCGGAAATGGCTCTCTTATTGACCAATTCACGCAGAGTGTCGTCAACAGACGCACAGATTCCTGGGGTGGAAGTGTGCAAAATCGGTCTCGATTCGCACTCGAGGTCACCAAGGCGGTGTGCGAAGCTGTAGGCCCATCGCGCGTGGGTTTCAGAATCTCGCCCTGGAGCACGTATAGCGGAATGGGCATGAATAAAGAGGACACCATCTCACAATTCACAGACTTACTGACTGGGCTGAAAAGGCTGGACATCGCATACGTTCACTTTGTTGAGAGTAGAATCGCAGGGAGAGCGGATGTAGAAGCAGGTGAATCGTTGCAGCCTTTCGTCGATCTGTGGGCAGCAACTTCGCCAATTCTTCTCGCAGGCGGCTTTAGTCCCAAGTCTGCAGCCGATGCACTTGATCGGGAATATCGCGACAAGGACATCCTCATTGCGTTTGTACGATACGTGCGCTCTGCATTACTCTAGGGATATACTAATCCTTCTTTCTAGGGCCGAGCCTTCGTTACAAATCCGGATCTCGTTAATAGGATTCGGCAAACTAGAAAGCTAAATGACTAGTATATCTCTATTCTATTCTATTCTATTCTATTCTATTCTATTCTATTCTATTCTATTCTATTCTATTCTATTCTATTCTATTCTATTCTATTCTATTCTATTCTATTCTATTCTATTCTATTCTATTCTATTCTATTCTATTCTATTCTGTTCTATTCTGTTTTTGTAAAATTTAAAGACTTATATTTAATAACAAGTTAAATAGTAAGGATAGATATAATTTCTAAAATCTAAATATAATATATAATCTAGTATATAGTCTATATTTGTATAATAGGATCTCTTTGTTTAGGTTTATACCTTTTTAGTAGACCCCGTAGTAGTTCGGGTTAGTTTAGTTTGGTTTGCTAAGCCGAAACTCTAGTTTAGTTTAGGTTAGTTTGCTAAGCAACTATATAAGTAGCTAGTTCGAACTATATAATTTATCGGTTTTTAAGAAGTGTACGAATATATACGTAGCTTCAAGTAAGCCCTTTATAAGACTTAGTAGTGTAGCCGGTAGCGTAGCCGGCATTTTTAGTCCTTAGTACTTATAGAATTTTCGAATCCTACTTAGGCTACGTAGTTGTATAAAGGTACTTATATAACCTTAAATCTATAGACAATTAGCTAAGGGCACTAACTAATCAAAAGTATATATATATATATAAGGCATTATAGTTTAGTTCGGAAACTATACTCCTTAGGTATAAATTTCATCCTTTCGTTTACGGTTTAATTCCCTAACTACTTAGTAGAATATCTTTATCTAGATCTAGGTAGAACTTATCGATTTCCGTCGAAGCTCTCTTTAAGAAGTTCTAGCACTTTCCTACTAAACTATACTCTAATATTAAGTACTAGGATAGCTCCTCCCTCGATATCGGTACTATATACGAAATAGCTATAAGGTAGCTCTATAGGGCGTTCTACTAGTTACTCGCTATACTACGGCCGAATGCTAGTTCGTTCCTTAGAACTCTAGGTTATTTAGTAGATATTAAGGATAGGGTAGGTAGTAACTTCGTATTATATAAGGAAGTAGAGGCTACTATAGAGGAGTCCTTTAACCTATAGAAGATAGTAAAAGATATAGAGGTAGCTATAGGTCTAGGTACCTAGTTAAATTTCTAGTAGGTAGAGTGTAAGGATATTTAGTAGGAGTATTAGGTAGAGTTGCGAAAGTAGGTATATAATATAGTCTAGAGAACAGGGATAATGCCTATAACTATAAGTATTAGGTTCTTTAATCTTCCTCCTTTTTTCCTTGTTTTCTTTTTATAAAAATCTAAACTAATATAAATTAACTAGAATGTTTATATTCTTTTAGTTCTTTATAAGACCTAGTAGCGTAGCCGGCAGCGTAGCCGGCAGCGTAGTCGGCCTTTTTACTCCTAAGTACTAACGGGTTTTTCGAAGACTTCTATTCTATACGGCTAATAAAGTATACTATACTATATAGGTATACTTAGAGAGTATTTAGAGCGCGGTATGTAGCGCCGTATAATAGCGGCTTATTTCGTATATAGAAAAGCTTGTAGACGATACTACGAACATCCTTCCTACTAGTATATCTATCCTATCTAGTACTATCTCGAATATAGATATTCTAGCCTTTTAGAATCTAATCGAGTGCTTTAAAATCCTTATCTATAATCGTTATACGCTTCGCGTAAATAGCTATAAGGTTAACCGCTAAAATAGTATTAGTATAGTCCGAAAAGAGGTAGAAGAGAAATATATATTCGAAGATACGAACTAGGTAGGCTTCTGTAGCCTCTTAGGGGGCGCCTGTCGCGGAAGCTTAGAAGCGAAGGTCCGTTCTATAATCCTAGGCAATTTCGCGAATAAGTCGTTAGAAAGGAGCTTTACGGATTAGGAGCTTAGAACTCTTCTAATACTACCGAATCTTACGGAGGGCTACGGCTAAAGAAGGATTAGTAAAAAGATAGTAAGAATGCCGGCTACGCTACCGGCTACGCTGCCGGCTACGCTACCGGCTATAAATAGGACTTACTTCCTAGGCGCTATCGACGCTTTATACGATTGCTACTAGTAGTAGAAGCGCTAGTTGTCGTCTTACGTAGAGCCTTGCCCGCCGTTATCTTACGCGGAGCCTTACTCGCGACGCCCTTTCTAGTACCGGAGCTAGCAGTAGTAGTAGTAGCCCTCTTACGTTAATATACTATACTCGTTCTATTATTTCCGATCTTATTGCGACCCGTAGAAGCAGTAGGTCCCTTCTTACGAGGCGTCGTAACTTAGTTAAGTAGACTCGCTATTATAAAAGTCGTCGAATTAAGGAAAAAAGTATATTACGAAGGTATACGAAGGCGCGCGCGGAGCGAGGGTATTACGGAGGTAGTAGATATAGAGCGTAGAGGTATAGGTATCGATACGAAGGTTGAATATAGCGAGAGAGGTAGTATCGCGGTATCGCTAGGTAATAGAGTAAGCTTCGCGTAAGCCTATATTATAGTAACGTTAGAGCAAGGAAAGAAGGCAGGTACGGCTAAAAAAGGCAGGTACGGCTAAAAAAGGTAGGTACGGCAGACTTTGAAATATAGCCGGTATATATAGCCGGTATAGTAATAGGCGAAAGCCTCCTTTTAATAAATAGCCGGCGTAATAATAGTATCCTACTATAGTATAGATATTCTTTAGTAATGCCTTTACTAGCTATAGTAATCTTATAAGTAACCTAGGCCTATTGCTAGTAAATATAAGAAATATTAGGTAGGCTATACTAAACAAGCTAGTTATTTAGTAGGAAAAGGCCTACTACCGTCTCTATATACCGGCTACGAGTGCCGGCTATCGCTCTAAATTTAACTCCGCCCTATCTCGGAGGCTAAGGTACCGAGCGGAAACCCTATAGCTTATATTCACTCGGTTATCGCGGAGCGCTTATAGGTAAGGTATTAGAAAAGAGTATAAAAAGTACGAGAAGAGTATCCTAGGATATAGGTCGTAAGTGAATAAGAGTAGTACGCCTAGTTATTTATATAGTACGTTACTCTATACGACTAAGAGCCTATATTATCTTATACTTCGCTTATAAGACCTCGACTCTACTAGTATACTATCGATCTCTTCCTCGGTCGCTAATACGCTGTCTTAATTCTTCTTCGAGTTGCCGGACTTAGTACGTATCTATAGCTATATAATAGCGCTACGTATTATAGAGAATTAACTCCGCCGTATCTCGAAGGCTAAGGTACCGAGCGGAAATCCTATAGCTTATATTTACTCGGTTATCGCGGAGCGATTATAGGTAAGGTATTAGAAAAGAGTATAAAAAGTACGAGAAGAGCATCCTAGGATATAGGTCGTAAGTAAATAAGAGTAGTACGCCTAGTTATTTATATAGTACGTTACTCTATACGACTAAGAGCCTATATTATCTTATACTTCGCTTATAAGACCTCGACTCTACTAGTATACTATCGATCTCCTCCTCGGTCGCTAATACGCTATCTTAATTCTTCTTCGAGTTGCCGGACTTAGTACGTATCTATAGCTATGTAATAGCGCTACGTATTATAGAGAATTTCTCGTTAAAGTTTCTCTCTCGTAGGCTTACTATCTGCCTCGTAGTATAGAGGATTAAAGTGCTAATACTAAAGAATCTCCTTATAGTTAGGATACTAGGGCTCCTTAGGACCTTTATATTTTAGGTCTAAATAGAGACGTATTATAAACGTTCTATCGCCCTTTCGCTTACTACCCGCTAGGTCGCGATATACGAAGAAACTAATCTAAATATAGCTCGTCTCTATAATAGCCGGGTAAATATAGAGCGCTAGGTTTCTACTTCGTACCTTAGATTTAGGGACGGCGCGGAGATAAAATTAGAAATATAGCCGGTACCTATAGCCGGTAAAAGGATGCGAAAATAGGCCTCCTCCTAGGTTAATCTAACGACTAAATACAATTTCCAACTAATCCGCTATAAACCGACGCCGAATTTTAGCTAGAAGCTATATATCTTTATTTTAAAGAGTAACCCGCTTCGTATAGATAGTAAGGAGGTTTAAAAGCTTAAGCTCGGTTACGAGAAATGCCTCCGTAGCTTCCTAAAGAGTACTAATCGCCTTAGCCGTAAATCGTATACTAGACCGAAAATCTAATATAATTTCTCGGACGAGTCGCTAGAAGGGAGTCTTAGGGATTAAAAGCTCGGTCCCTCTTTTGTTTTAGAAAAGCCGGATCTAGCGAAGGGTAATAGTACCTAGTTTAAAGCGCCGCTTCTTTATCGTCGAGTCCTACCTTATTCCCTTTCTTTTAATAGAAAGATAACTTTTCTTCGTAATAGTCTTCGTCCGCCTACTCTTTTTAGCCTTCTCCTATCTACCTATAGCTTTCTTATTTCTCGGTACTGTTTTCCGAGGAACCCCCTTCCTTCGTATATACTACGGAGAGCCTTGCTCTTCCGATATCTCGTTCTCGCTATAGTCTCCCTATACTTAGCTTGCTTTATCCTTACCCTTTAGCCTCTAAAGATATTTATCTATACGTTTAGGCGACGAGGGTATATCGGTAGGACCTAGAAAATTAATAAGTATATAATCGTAAGGAGATATTAATGCTTCTTACCTTCTAGAATAAATAGTCTTCTATTAAACCGCCTTAGTAGGTTATCGTTAGATTCGAATAAAGGATAGTAGCTTAAGGAAGGGGAGGTAGCGGGCTTAGGAAGGCCCGAAGAGCCGAATCCTTAAGGTATATTTGTCTTTAAGAATATAGGGAAAGGGAAGAAGGAGAGGAAGAGCGAATAGAGAATTAGAAATAGTCCGTAGGTAAGCGGGGTCGGTTACTATAGTAACTAGTCTATTTAGGTCCTAGGAATTCGAAATATATTTCGGATATATACTAGCTATATACGCCGGCTATATTACCTTATATGTAAACGCTTCGTTTCCTTAAAGCTACTCTAAGCCTATATACGTTTCCGCTTCTCGACCTAGTATCGCCTTCTACCTCCGCCCTCCTCCTCTTCGTTATCGCTAATTAGGGTTTCGCTTAGACTAAATTTCGTATTCTCTTCGCGCTTCTAGGTTTCTTCGATCTTAAGGTTTTTTAATTCCTCGATTAACTCCTTTAGTATAATCTTTAGTAACCTACCTTAGCGATTCTAGTAGAGGAGATAGTATCGGAATACTATAATAGATTCGAAGGTAGTAGGCGAGTATATTCGATTAAAGCGGCCCTAGTAACGAGCGATACTAAAAGACCTCTTATAGCCTATACCTACGCTCGGGATAGCGAGGACGTCCCGAGCGACCGACGCTATCGTTAGAAACTTAGGCTCTAACCGCTGCTATATAGCGAGAATATCGTCTCCGAATTCGTCTAGAAGACCGGTAAGATTTAGAGATTATTAGCCCTCTTTCCGAGCCTACGGATTTATACTTACTTACGCGCCGATAGAGATCGAACTCTTCTTTATTTACTTTAGTAGTTGCTTCCTCTTCTGCCTCTACTTCCTACCTACGAAATAGGTATAATATTAGAGCCTTCTAAACCTTCTTTTTCTTTATAGGAGCTGTATTTAGACTAGTTTCTTTCCGACGCTCGTAGAATATCTTTTCTAGAATAGTCTAGTAATACTTCGGCTATACCTCGTCCCTCTTCTATTCCGGCCTCTACTAGTATATATCCTTTTCTACCGGGTTAAGTAAGTATATAACGCTATAGATATCCCCGAACGACTTAAAGGTAGTACTATAATATTTATATAACTTAGTATAGGAGGTGTCTATAGCTTTCGTTATAGCTACTTTCTAAGGAACGCTCTTCTTAGCTAGCTTAGCTATAGTTTCCTCGAGCTCGTTAAGGAGCTAGTTATAGTACGTAAAGATAAGGTAGATCGTCGGTCCTCGGGTTCTTCTAATCGTAGTAGTAACCTTCGCGTAATGCTTACTAATATCGACGAGATACTCTACTTAGCGCTATTTAGCGGCGGTAAGGCCGAGCTACTTAATACCCTCGGAACTCTAATAGATCTCGAGAGCGGTACGTAAAGTATATCCCTTCGTAACTATATAGAAAGTCGAATCGAACTAGGTCTTAACGTCTTAGATAAAACGGAGTAGGCGCTAAGGAGGCCGCTTTTGCTATCGCTTATTCTATACGATATTCTAGGTATCGGTTTTAGGGCGCTCGATTAGGTTCTTTTAAATAGCCTCGAATCGGTTATATCTCTATAAGCTCGAGTTCGTATATATTACTAGACGACGAAGCTAGAGAAAAAGAGTTAGAACTATACTAGGTTACCGGCTATAGGTGCCGGCTACGGACAAAAGTTATACCTTATATAAAACGAGAGCGAGGCTCTCTACCTTATCCCGTCTTATTACTATAATAAGTTTCTCGACTTTCGACTTTGCTTTATCCTTATCTAGGATCTTCTATTAGTCGTCGTTTAATAGTATAATTTTAAGCGTCTTAAAGAGGGCTCGGATCGCGATTTAAACTGTATAAGCGAGGTAGGGAAACTTCTATAGGGATATAACTAGTAACGACGTCGGCTCCGATTTAATAGGGCTAGGGCTATTAATAGGCTCCTCTTTATCGTTATTATCGTGCGTATTATCGTACGTATCCGGAATCGTAGCGAGCTTAACATTCGGAAGATTAAGCTAGATTATAGACCTTATAATCTCCTCTACGTACTCGACCCTATCGATATAATTAGTAATTTTAAAGATATATACGAGTGAATTGTATATACAACGCCTTATATAATGTTCGATTATTACTAGCGTTATCCGTAGTAATCGAGATTAGTTTCGTTGTTACGCTTACCCTATCTATTGCCGTATAGACAAGCTTCGCTATATCCTTACTAGTATAGGAACCTAGAATTTCAGGGAATCCGATTATAAGTTCCTAGAGTTTCTAATCCGAATTGATAAAGTATAGTATAATCGAGAGGAAGGAGGCTCTTATAGTCCGGCTTAACTAGCTATCGATAGTAATAGCTACTCGGCGAGTATTACGGAGGATCTCCCGAATATCGTCTAACGTAGCCTCTTTATTCTTTTCGAATATAATACGCTAGGTTATCGCGCCGAGAAATAGGGGAGGGTAGTTTATAAGATATAGGTATATCTTCTATATAGACTCCCTTTCGTAGAAGTCTTCCGGAAGACCGTTTATAGCTAGTATTTCGTTTGCTAGTTGCTTAAAGTCTTCGGGGGAGAAATCGGTAGCCTTTAATCCTAGAGCTTCCTTAAGCGTAGCCTATAATAATTAGCTAGACCTCTACGGTTGATTTAAGTAGCCGGAATCTATAGCCGGAATCTGTAGCCGGTAGCTATAGCCGGTAGCTATAGCCGGCAGCTATAGCCGGTAGCTATAGCCGGTATTTTAGAAGATATACCTCTTTCTAGAACGCTATATCTATATTAACTCTCCTCTCTCCTTAAGATTCCCGATACCGTTTAGAATAGAGATAGTTTATAGGCAATAAGTTCCTATCCCCTAGTTTTAGGTATTTTAAGATTGAACCGTAGAAGTTATAGACAATTACTAGTTAACCTTTAAGTCGAGAAGTCGTATAACGGTATAATGCCCCCTCTATAAAGAACTTCTAGAATATATCCGTTCGCTCCTTACTCCCCTATCGCATCGAGTACTTCCGGAGTTTATACTCCTTTAAACGTAGGTATAAAGGGAACTATATCTTATAGACCTATTAATTAAACTGCTCTATATACTCGGGTTTTTAAAGATACGCCTAGCTAGCCTTTTCGAAGATTTCCGGGTTAATACTCGATGTTCTTATATCTCCGAACAACCTTCTACTTAGACTCCGTAAAGGTAAGGACTAGGTAGTAGTACCCTATAATAAATTCCTACTACTAGGATTCGGAGAGGATAAATCTAGCCCTAATCGTCGTCTAGGACTCGATAGGCTCGAAGGTAAGTATACGACCTCCTCTCGACGTTATCGCAATCTCGCTCGTATACTAGACTATTTCGACTATCGTCTCGTTGTTACCCTTCCTAGTATAGCGCTAAGTATATATATAATATCGGTCGGCATATTTTAAGGTTTCGTATAGTAAGGTAAGGACTTAGGAGTAGTAGATATATACTAGTAGCTATAGGGAAACACCCTTTCTTTTATAGTATCGTATCGTTAGGAATAGCTAGGTAGTAAATAGCTAGCTACCTTTTTTTTATTTCCTAGCTACCTAACTACTAGATTTTTTTTTCCTAGCTACCCTAGCTAGCCTAACTACTAGAATTTCTTTCTTAGCTACCCTAACTACCTAAATTTTGCCTTCTATACGGCGGCTCTCTCCTACTAACGGAACCGAGCTACTATACCTAACGAATCTAAGCTCGTTTTTAGTCTTAATCTATCCTCTTTCGGTATAAGATACTCGATAAGCAAATACTTAGGCCGAGTCTAACTACGAAACCTAAGACTAACTAATAGCTCTATTAACTAATCCTAATCCTCGAACTCCTTCCGCTTCTTAGTAAAGACCTTAAAGAGCGCTCGAGCTTCGTCGGGTACCTACGGAGTAGTCGAGATAAAGCCGTATCGCTAGAATAGGTAATCCTTCGGAGGCTTATATAGAGATTTAGAGAATTCTAACGCTAACCTGTCCTACTAGTAGCTTAGATTCCGGATATAAGCCCTCTCTGCCTTAGTAAAGATTTTATATAGTAGTAGCACTCTACCTTCGAGAAACGCTTTCTATTTAACTGTTAGTATCTGCCGGCTACGAACGCCGGCTATATATGCCAAGTATAGAATAATTACCTATACCCCTTCCTCCTATAGTAATACTTCTACCGTCCCTAGATACCTAGCCCTAATCGCATTAATCGTAAGCTACTTTGCCTTTATAGACGTAAAGGCTTCGCTCTAATACTAATAAAGAAACTTCTACTCTATATCGAGGATATAAAGACGACTAGTCTCGATTCTAATCCTTGCTAGCTTTTCGTAGTAGCTTTAACTATAATTTTCTAGATTAATAGGACTTATACCTTAGCCCTTTACTAGTATCTCGTCTCTTTAACTGTACTCGATCTACTCCTAGCGCTTATCGTCTATAGCGTTAGGCCCTAAGACTGTACCTATTACTAGATCGACGTATAGTATCTCCTCGCTTTTTTTAGTTCCTTTATTCGTAGTATTAAGCTCTATCGCGGTATCCTAAACTCTAGTATTATTGTTCTCGGCTATCTAAATATCTCCGTTACTATCGGTCGTATCGATAGAGGTAGCGGCTATAGGTCTAAATGCTATTAGTTAACATATTAAAGAAAAATATGCCGGCTATAGCTGCCGGCTACGGCTGCCGGCTATAGCTGCTAGCTACGGCCGCTAGCTAGATTGACTTACGCTACTAGAACTTTACGCTCGAAAACTAGCCGCAATTCTTTCCTCCTCTTAGCCTTCTCTTAGGTTGTCTTCTTATTCTAACCTTTACTTTTTTCTATAGGCGCTAGCTATCGATAGAATGCCTTATTCCGCGCCTTTCTTCTCTTATCCTTAGCTCTTTTATCCTTATCTATCTTCTCCTTTCTCTCGCGGTCTTGTACGGAATTCTTCTTCGTAGAGTACTCCTCTTTAGTTTTGCGCTTTTTAGTTAGACGCTTAGGTAAAATAAACTCGCGGTCTTTAGTTCTATCTTCTATTTAGCGCGCGGCGCGCTTCTCTTTTACTATTATAAGGAAAAGGGGCGGGGGCGTAGCGTATAGTAGTTATTATAGGTATAGGTATAGAGGAAGAAGTTAAAAGTATAAGAATATCGCAAAGCCCTAATTATTGCCGCCTACGTAACGTTATATAAGTAAGCTTTCGCAACTACGGCAACTACCCCCTAGTAATAGCAACTACGCCCTAGTAACGGTAACTACGCCCTAGTAACGGCAACTACGCCCTAGTAATAGTAATAGAGCGTAGTAAATATAACCTAGTAACTATTATAGCCGGCAATCGTAGCCGGCAGTCGAATAAGAGTGTCCTTATAGCAAAACTACGCCCTAGTAACAGTAACTACGCCCTAGCAACGGCAAAAGAGCATAGTAAATGTAATAGAGTTACTATTATAGCCGGCAATTGTAGCCGGTAGTCGAATAAGAGTGTCCTTATAGTAAAACTAATATAGTCTCTAGTTCAAACTAGGAATCTATATAGTTCGAAAAAACTAAACCGGAACTAGGGAGCTAGTTCGCCGCTAAGAAACTAAACTATATACGTTTAGTAGTTCGGAAACCGAACTACTACGGGGTCTATAGGCTTCTTTAGGACTAGATTCCGTACGGCTACTTATACGGGAGCTACGAGGTCCCTTTAAGGCACTTGCGGTATCGTCCGGAGCGATATCGTTATCTTCTTCGTTATCGTCCTAAAGTTAGTCTCTAGGTCCGGTAGGGAATGTTTGTTCTTCTACTAGAGGGTTAATATTAGGACCTTTTCCCTTAGATAACGATATACCGGTTCCGCCGGCGGCCTTACTACTTCCTTTAGGAGGCATAGTACTAATAAGTAGGTAGTGCTACGTTAGGAGTAGGTACGTTAGTTAGAGGTGCTTTCGGGTAGCTTAGAGGCACCTCGAAGGGGCCTAGTAGGTACCGACGACGTAGGTACTACTATTTAGAGGTCGTACTTAGTACGGCTATACTCCTAAGGAGGATTCGGAGGCGATATTCTATAAGAAAGTAGTATATAGGGAGTATTAATACGAGCGAATAGTAGTCTTAGTATTTAACGATATCGCCGAAGGAACGAACGATTCTCGAGGTAGGAATAGGCGCCTTATCCTATAGTGCTAAGAGTTAGGTAACTCGGGATTACCGGCAAGGCACCTCTAGGGTGCCTTATAGGTGCCTAGTAAGGGTCTCGGCGGTATAGAAGGGTATTCCCTTATAGAGTATAGAAGGCTATCTTCTATTTATCGCCCTTACGAATATAGATACGATAGTACGCATCCTTAATGTCTAATATAGTATAGAAATAGGCGCTAGAAAGGCGATCGAGGGTCTTATTAATAAGCGGAAGTAGATAGCGGTCCTTAATAGTAATAGCATTAAGCCTACGATAATCGATATATAGGCGTAGGCTACTATCCTTATTTAGTACGAATAGGATAGGTATACTAGCAGGGCTGTTACTATACTAAATTCGACTATTAGCTAGGTTCTTATCTAGGTACTTACGTAATATAGCAAGCTCTCGTTTACTAAGGTTGTAGAGTAGCCTAAAAGGGACCTCTTTACCCTCTATAATATTAATCTTATAATCTGTCTCTTTAAATATAGGCAATGTCGATGCTAGGTAGTATTTAAATATATTAATATAGGTTTCTCGAACAGGCTATAGTATACGAGCAAGCTAGTTAGGATCTATACTATTAGGGGGTAAAGGTTTATCGTTATCTCTACCGAGAAGATTAGCCGTCGGATTAGCTAAGGCAGGTATTAGGCTGCCGATAAATAGGACCCGGATATTGTTAGGACACTCGCTAATATTAATATATTTAATGTCCTCTCTCCTAGCAATTCTAAATCGCTACTATTAGCTGCCTAAGTCTATAACTATAGCATAGTGCTTAAGAATAGGGTTACTAATAACAATATCGGATAGAAGGTTGTCTATGTCTACTACGTAGGTAGTGAAATCTATCTAGTAAGCGCTCGTTGCCGAGGTCGTCTCTTAGAACTATAGGAATATAGTAAGCCCTATAGGTTAAGTGCCGAGCGTTATTAAACTAAGCAAGGGTTAGTATGTTAGTTCTAGGCAATTATCGGAGGTCTAATTGCTTAGCTAGGTAGTAATTAATAAGGGTACTAACCGAATTTCCTAGATCTAGTATAACCTTAGTTTTATAGTTAGTTCTATACGTGTCCTATATAAGACAGGTACGTATAATAGCTAGTACAATGTCGATAGTTTTACGCCGTACAAGGCTAATAGTTAGTGCGGCGCTTATTCTTTTTTCGACTAATTAAAAGGGCCGATAGGGGTAGCGTTAGCGGCTAAGAGGTGTTTCCTATACTTAGCGGAAGTACGGTCAATTCGGGCCTAGTCCTTAGGTTTATTATATTAGCCTAGTAGGTAGCTAGTACTATCGCAGTTAAAGCACTTTAATCTAGTTAGGGGGTTGCTATAACCGTTATTACTACTATTATTAGTCGAGCGGTTAGTATTATAGGGATACGAGCCCCTTCTACGGCCCCTATCGCGGCCTCCTCTATATAGCCGCCGGCTACGGCCTCTTCTATAGTTATTGTTACTATTCCTATTATTAGCACTATTGTTCTAGTAGGAACCTTAGTTTCCTCCGCGGGTACTACGATTGCTACGGTTAGTACTAGCTAGTCGGATCCTCGATTCTAGTCGTTACTAAAGCTAAATAGCTCGTTTAGCTATTTCCACTTTAACTATAAATTGAATGCGTATAAGGTTAGCTTATTTAAATATACGGCGGCGGTCTAATTTAAGGATAAGTTCCTATCTAAGCTTAGGGCGTATTTCCGAGATCTATATAGAATTAGTCTTAGCCGGAAGGTTATCCTTAAGGGTCTTTAAATAGGCCTCGAATAAGCAGAATATATAGTTATATAGAGTATATATTTACAAAGTATTAGAAGCTATAGTAGTAGTAGCAAACTAAATAGCAATAAGCTTACTTCTTTCGCTAATTATCGTATTCGCTATTTTATTAATAATATTAGCTACTAGGATCCTATAATGTTCTATATATATATATAGTAGTTTATATATAGTGCTAGATATCCCTAGCTTGAATTTTACAATTAGATTTATAGATAATAGAACTAGGCATTCTTAAAGTAATCGAATTTATAAAAGCTTATCCCTATTTATAAAAGCTTATCCCTAAAATACAAGTTCCTAACTAATTTCTAGACTCCTATACGAACTGTAAACTAGCTAGGATCCCTAGACTAGCTATCTAAATAATAATTAGTAGCTCTAGTCGTTTCTAGAAAACTCTAGAGATCCGTAGAATCTAAAATTATATTAAAGACTACTCTCTATTAGAATACTAGAATCTCAACTTATTCGAACCCTCTATAGCTACTACTAGTACTCTAGCTAATTAGAAACTAGGATAGAACCTAATTAGCCCTAAAGTTTCTCCTAGAATTTTAAATTAATATCCTATAAGACCTAGTTGTTAAACTAGATCGAGATAATACTAGCTAATAAACTTAGGCTTAGGTATATTAGATCTGTATTAGATTCGTATTAGATTAGAGTTTAATACGATGGATTCCTAATTAAGAAGATAGTAAACCTATATAGATAAGCTATACTAAGATTTAGGTTTCTCGCTTCTTTCCTTTTCTATTTAATATCTATCGCTATTAGAACTTAGAGTATTTATACTTAAACTTAAAATACTTCTTCGCTAAACTAGACTTAAAAAATTTAGGATAAAGATAAAGCGGCGTAAGTTCTAATAATAATCCCCTATAGTAATAAGGAATCTAGTTGTTTACTATAGTTCTTACTAAAGTACGCTAGTAAGTATATTTAGTATAATAACGATAGGATGTTAATATGCTAATGTTTTAGTACGAGACTTGATACTATATTCTGTTATAACATTTCTCTACTAACTATAAAAGCTATAAAGGCAATATACTATATATAGCCGAGCTATAACTTGATCTAGTAGTTTTAGCGGTAAGGCCGCGCTATAGGAGTATAGCTTACTACTATAGTAGGTTTCTCTACTAGGGCTACTACTTTACAATATCGGCGGCAATCTTATCTATAGATAATCTAAAATAGTAATCCTCTATAAATCGAAGCGTTATAGACCGGCGATAGATCTATTAAATAGTTATTAGACGGAAACTATTTAGCGTAAATAATTATCCTAGTTTACCGAGGGCGATTACTAAAGCATTATTGTCTCTTTACTATCTATAAATAGCTCTTCTTATTTACTTAGATATAGTAGCAATAGTTATTTCCTTAGTAGATAAGCCTTGTCTAGTTTACTATACTTATATTTTATAATAGTGCCTTTATATTAAGCACTTGCTATATTTATACTTATAGTAGTACTTATTATAGAGCCCTTCTTCTCGCTTTATTCTACTATAAAGGCTAAAGTACTCTTTACTTAGCTAGTTCTTTTACCTCTTAGATAGCGTATCTAGTATTTGATTAAGTTGTTTTCGCGATATTCCTACTATAGAAGAATAAGGTATTTATAGCTACTATAAATAATATAACCTCTAGTACTCCGTATATAATCTTTTAAAGAGTTAAGATTTAGGTATCCCCTAAGTCGTACGTTCTTCTATATAGTTAAGTACGGCTTCTCTAACTACTAACTACTCGTAGCTATAATTAAAGCCTAATATAGATTAATATAGCGAGAGATAGAATTCAACTAATATACGGAGCTTATATAGATTTAGGAAGACATCGGGCTAAAGCTAGAGTAGATGTTATCTCTTCTCTTCTTAAATGGCTTTAGTAGTACTAGGAGGGCGTTTGTATATAAGATATAAGGCACTAGCTACCGTGTTCTACGTAGAAGGGAAGATTGTAGTCTATACGGCTTCTACTAGAATTATAGTCCTCCTACTACTAGAAGGTATAGTAGCTTTCTATCGCTTTAGGTAATCTATTAATAGTATAGAGATATTATAGTTTATGCTAAGGATAGGTATATTAGATATAGACGTAGTTAGGGAGGCTATGTTAGTTGTCTTAAACAAGACGCCTTTATAGCGTTAGTATAACACTATAGTCGCCTATTACCTTATATAGGACTTGAAAGGGATGACTAACTAGTAGACTAAATTACAGTTTAGTAGCTTTCTACTACTATTTAGCAGAGGTTTTATATAGTATTTACTAATCGAAGTTCTAGAAGAGATTATATACGGTTAAAGGGATTAGTAGCTATCTTTTATACTATACCTATACTATTCTAAATAGATAATAAGATACTATATCTAGGAGAGTATAAGAGCTAGTAAGATATAAGAGTTAGAAGCTAGGAAGTATTCGTATTACCTTCTCCGATTAGTATACAATCTCCTATATACTAATTTACCTACTATAGCTTCTATAATATTTAAAGAGAGTTACTAATACTAGATAGATAGATATTTCATTTGCCTGTTGTAGTGCCTTTCGGCCTATGTAGGTCTGTTTCTATATATTGTTTTAGGTAGGAAACCAACTTAGTTAGTAAAAACCTCCCTCCTGTCCTATTTATAAGTGTTGATCTTCCTTGTTTCCTTGTTCTCCTTCCTCTAGGGTATACTAGTGTTATAGTTGTTACCCTCTAACTACCTTGCCTACTGCCCTGCCCTTCTTTCCCCCTCTTCTTCCCTCCTTCTTATCTACTCCTTAGTTTCCCTTGCTAGTACGAATTGTTGTATAAATCCCTATTTAATGATCTACTTTACTATCCTCTTTAGGTCTTCTTTACTCTAGATTAGCTTATCGTATTCCCTTTCTATTGCTTTTAGTCTCTAATTACTTCTACCTTCTAACTATTAAGGGTAGACTAGTAGTATATACTTAGGGTTCTGAGATTGGTAGCTATATTAGTAAGCCCTACTTTTAATTCCTAGGACGTTTCTTCTAAATAGGTAAGATCTAAGTCTAATGTATTTAGATCTAATTTAGATAGCTAGGCTTGCTTCGGCCCTGTTTAGGTCCTTGTAGAGCTAGTAGTTATATTAACTAAATTTGATTAGTGCCTTTAGGGTTCCTAGTCTGACTTGTGTTTTATTCTATTCCTGCTCCTATAGGTGTCTAGCAATTAATTCTACTAGGCTTTGTTTCTCTCCCTTTAGTTTGTCTTCCTTTAGTCTTATATTTAGTTCCTAAAGCTCTTTCTCTAGCATTTCTCTTATTAAGACTCTATATTGCTCTAGGTCTTTAACTTTCTAGGGAGTTATTTATAGTCTGTCTCGCCTCCTAGTCCTAATATACTAGGCTTTTATCTTGTCTATTGCTTTGTAGATAGTCTATTAGGCTAAGTATTCTATTGTCTTTGCTATATATTGGTGTCTTAGTCCCTTAAAGTATTGTTTAACTAGTAGGATCCCTAATTCTATTTCTACTACCCTTATTAGTATAGTTTTGTATACTCCTAGGATTTTCTTTAGGCTTTAGGTTTAGGACCTACTAACTAGTTGTTCAATCCTCTTTAGTGTTTTCTCCTAGGCTGTCTATATCTATACTCTATATAGTATTACTAGCTTAATAATTGCTTTGTATATAACTTTAGCTTTCTCGAATGTAGCCCCCTATATAGAGGCTATAAGCCTATTAATAGATTGTATATTAGCATCTACCCTCTGCTTTGCCTTCTTTACTTATAGTCCCTAATTTAGTTTTAGATCTAGCTAGATCCCTAGTACCCTAAGCTCTACTAATAGTTGGGTTTCAAAGCCTTAGATAGTAATTGATTGCTTTATATTATAGGTTGATTTAGCCTTGCTAAAGTGGATAAGCTAGTACTTTTCTAGGGCGAATTTTGCTCTATACCTCCTTACCTATTTTTTATACTCCTAGTGCTTCTCTTCTAGGATCTTACAGTTAGTTTCTATTATCTTAGACTAGGCTAGGATATTCGTATTATCTACAAACCCTAATGCTAATGTGTTTTTTAATTCTAGGAGTAGGAGTAGGTCTACTATAAAGATAAGGAAGAGGATTAGGGAGAGTATTAATCCTTAGGGGATTCCCTTTTTAGTTAGTATTAGGTCTAATTTGAATTTGCCTAGAATAAGCTATATTGATCTTTCCTATAGGAAGGACTAGATAAATTGGACTATCTAGTTTAGTATAGCTTTCTATTTAAGTATATATAGGAGCCTTTTATAGGAGATATTGTTAAAGGCTCCTAAGATATTAAGGGAGAGGAGGGTTGCTACCTAGTTTTAACTATAGTGCTAGATATACTTAATCTGTTCTATAATTAGTTCTATAGCTATTAGTATTAACCTCTTCTTTCTTCCTCCTATCTAGCCTTTAGGAAGGATGTTCCTTTCCTCGGTAAAGGTTGTTAGCCTTTTAGCGACAATTTTTTCTAGTACCTTACCTATTATATTAAGTAGGGCTATTAGTCTATAGGCCTTAAGCTGTATATAGTCTTCCTTCTAGGGCTTCCTTAGCACTACTATTAGGGACTTCCTAAATAGTCTTAGGTAGTGTCCTAGTGCTAGGCTTTATAAAAAGATATTAGCTAGTACTAGGGCTAACCCCTTCCTATATACTTTTAGAAGTTTGTTATAGATCTTGTCTTCTCCTAGTGCCTTATTGCCTAGAATTTTCTTTAGGATCCTTTCAATAGTTTCGGGTTTAACCTAGGTATCTCTTAGTATGCCTAGCAGTAGGGTCTCTTGTTCTATCTCCCTTATATCTAATAGGTCTGCTTATACTTTTCTATAGAAGAAGTGTTAGCCTAGGGCTCTTACTTTCCCTTCTATTGTAGTCTATATTTGTCCTTATTAGTCTATAATGTCCGGGAATTATAGTAGTATATCCTTATCTTATTTAGGTCTCCTTACCTATTTAGCTATCCTCTATATCTCCTCTAGTTTCTTTATAATTATTCCTATTATAGATCTCTATTCTTGTATCTTGTCTTTCTTAATCTGGATCTTCTTTTCCTAGCAGGCTTTATTATAGTTGTCCTATGCTTCTTAGGTATAGGTTTGTATCTACTGCCTCTTAGCCTTCCTTACTACTTTAACCTTCCTTATATACTTACTAGTCTAGTATAGTTGCTAGTATAGTGAATGTTTCTTTACTAGGGTATGCTTTCTAGCTACCTATTTTAGGATTCCTATTAGTTCTTCTACTGCTTTATTAATATCCTCTAGCCTTAGTAGGTACTTTGTTAAGAGTTCCTCTAGTTTTTGGTCCCTTTCTAGTTCCTCCCTAATCCTATCCTATTAGGTACCCTTCTAGTTAAGCTTCTCCTCTAGTTCCCTTTCCTAATTAGCTTAGATATTTAGCTCAATCTATACCGGGAAGTAGTCTAATGATTCTTCTAGTTCCTAGTTGATCCTGTATCTTATAATCCTGTTCCTAATCTAATATAATGTAAAGTATAGGTCTAGTATGCTACTGCTTCCTCTTGCCTCCTAAGTAATTAGTCCCTTTAGGGTAATAATTTCTATTTCTTCCCTCTCTAATATATCAATTAGTCTTCCTGCTAGGAAGTAGTAAGCTAGGGTAAAGTCTAAGCCCTAGAGGGGGTAGTAGAGGTTGAAATCCCTAAGTAGGATTTAGTAGGTATTCCCCTAGATAACTCTAGGTAGTCTTTCTAGGGTTTTTAGTTAGGTACTGCTTCTTAAGTCTAGTAGTAGGTTGTATATATAGTGGACTTAGAGTATACCTTAGGATGTCTCTACTTAAACTAATATTAGGTCCCTATCCTCCTATAGTAGAGCCTACTAGGTTTCTATATCTATCTCCTTACTAATATAGATATATATCCTTAAGGCTCCCTAGTTGTAGATAATTAGGTAGTATCTTAAGTCTTTAACTGTTGCTAGTCTCTTTGTATATAAGTTAAGCTAGGGCTCTTAGATTGCAATAATGTAATATTCTTTTAGGTTTAGTGCTTGAAGGAAGCTCCTCTATACCTTGTTTTTGCTCTTATTAATATTATACTATATAATGTTTAGTAATATTGCAATGTTTATTAGGTTTTATCTATATTATTTCCCTATAAGTTTTCCTTTAGTCTTCCCTCGCTTTAGACTAATATTTGACTAAGCTTTGTCTACCCTGCTTCCTTTCCTATAATGTTAAGGTATCTTAGTCTCCCTAGTTGCTAGTAACTCTCTTATGCTAGTAAGGCCCTAAATATAAACCTATTATCTTATCTAGACCTCTTTTGTAGCACTTAGCTAGGTTGCTTCTATACCTAGCTGCCCTAGCTTATTATATATCTTTTTAGTGTATTGATTCTAGCTTCCTTTGCCTTCCTCGCTACCTGTATTCTTACTAGGCATTCCTTCGCCTAAGAGGGGTGTCTTTTAGTATAGTATATATATCTTGCTTCTCCCTTGTATGCTTTGCATTCTTTAACCTAGTAATCCCCTATATAATAGGAGTAGGTATTGGTTGTCTTTATATACTTAGCTACTAAGTATCTATAGTGTTAACATTTAAAGTACTCTATTATCCTATAGTTGCTTCTATATATCTCTATTTCTAATCTCTTATAGTCCTAGAACAACCCCTAGTCTAGTACTATATTAGCTTGCTCTACACTCCCTATCTAGATAATTAGGGAAGACTGCTTCTTAGTCTCCTCGATTTTCCTTTTAATCTATACTACTTTTGTAATCTTTAGGCCTAAGTATATAGCTTGGTTTTGTCTCTATAGGCTCTCAATATCCTATTCTTCCTTAAAGCTTCTTGTTATACTATAGGCTATAATTATAAATTGCTATTAGGAGACCTTTGCTGTTTTCCCTATCTTAGTTGTCTATTCTTTTTATATTTCTAGCTTCTTTTTGTCCTGCTCTTATACTATAAATAGCTTAATTACCCCTTTTCCTTCGTTCCTAGCCCTAATTACCTCTTTAACTGTAATTCTTTCTACAATCTCTTTCCCTATAAGTCCTTAGATTTCCTTTTACTCCTATAGGTCCGTAATATAGACTCTAACTACTGTCCTTAGGGGTTTTAGCGCCTCCTAACTAGCTACTGCTACCTAGGTACGGTAGTTTAGGCTTGTTTCCTGTTGTTTCTTCGTAATCTTTGCTGCAACTATATTAGCTACCTTTATAATTACGTAGCTTGCCTAGTTGTAGATTGCTTTTAGTCCTCTAAGGAGTTCTGAGATTATTATCCTATATGCCCTCTTAGGGGTTCTTCTATCCTCCGCCTTTAGCACCTCCTCTGCCCTAGTATATAGTGCTTTCTATTCGTCCTCCCTTCCTTCCTAACTGTCTTCCCTTCGTCTCTAATTGTTCGCTGCTATTTAGCAATGTATTTTCCGGTATGCTATATAACGTAGCACTCGTAGATCCAGATGAGTTACTAATACTAGCTAGTTAGTAAAAGCTATATAAGATTAGAACTTAGTTTAGGTTACGTATCTAGACTAAACTATACTATATAATTAGGTCCTTTTTATAGTCTATAATAACGTAGCTGATAAGATTAATATATATAGGCGTTTAAGAAGCGATCAATCGCGTAAGTACTCCTTTAAAGACTATACTAACTAGATAGCATTAAAAGAAGTAGAATAGTCTAGCGTAAAAGAGAGTATATTAACTATAACATTTTTCTTCCGTCTACTTAGCTTACTAGCGTTCGAATTTTCGTCGAATAGGGCTCGGCAAGCTTGAGAATTATTAGGGATTGAATTAGTTTAAGGGCTCGATATAGGTCGGTATATAACCGGTCGTACTATATTAGAGGGTATTAGTATTATTACACAACTATATAGTATGTTTAAGGCAAGAAGGTTATAGAATTAGTCGAACAAATCCGGATATTATAGGATAGCGATTTAACTATATAGCACTAACAATCTGGTATTATCTTAGGCTTTATCTACTAGTCGAGTAACGGATAGATTTTCGCGTTTAAGGTCGCAAATAACGGGCAAAGGCAGTCGGTAAAGAGTATACTAGGACCGGTAATATATAGATATTTGTCGTAATATTAATGTAATAGTAAAGAGGCTATTATATCCTAGAAATTACGATAACTTCTAAAGCCGGCTAGCGGATATAACCGACGCTATAATTACTATTCTCGGTTACATTACTAAATAGAAGGCTGTTTAATTATAATCGGTTAGCTCCTAGTAAATATAGCGATAACCTCGATACTTAGCGAAATCTAATCTCTTCTATAATATATATCCGAATATCAAAATCTATTAACTTACCTTCGCTAATAACAACGCTTTTAGCTTATTAATACTACTCTTTGTCTCTATCGCCGTCGCTCTAATACCTTCTACTAACTTTTGTAAATCAGATACCGTTAATTAAAGACTATCTACCGTTACCTATACGCTATCGAACCTCGCCGCCGTCGCCTTATAGTTAGTATTTAGCGCCGATACTAAATCCTCTACCTTCGTACTCGATCCGGCTTATGCCTCTAATAACTCGATCTTCCGCTTCTTAAAGGAGTTAGCCTTTCGCTTAAGGTCTAGTATACTATTAAACTAGCGCTTAGATTACTTTATATCCTTCTCGGTAAGATTAGTAAGACTATTCGAGGCTATAGTATACTCGCCGATTAGATTCTTCTTAGTAATACTAGCCTATTGTAGCGACGTGCTACTCGTACGATTAAGTAAGAGACCTTTACTTACAACTCGAGCCTATACCTTCCGATTACGGCTATTATTGTCCTTAGCGGCGGCTTCTAGATTATCTTCTATCTCCGCCTATTCTTTAGTATTAAACTCGTTTTAAGAGCAACTCGTTGTCGAAGGTCTAGTACTCGCTAAGCGACCTATTGCTATATCGAATAATGCCTCCTTCTCTTTATCTATCTACTCTTCTTTAGCTATAGTCTGCTTACTAGCTTCCTTATCCTTCTTCTTAGCTTCTATTATAGCTATTATAGCTATTAACTTGTCTAACTTAATGTCTATAGTACTCGGGTTCTTATCCTCGGATATATTCCTTAATAAGTTGGCTAACCTCTTACTAATCTAACTATTTACCTTGCCTTTACTAAAGACAATGCGCTTTAAGTTCTTCGGATACTTTAGCGCTAACGACAACTCTCGCTTCGCCGTCTGTTCTACCTCCGTCTTATACTTATTAACGAAACTACTAAGCGGCTCGTAATAGAAGCTAAAAGAGTGCTAGATAAGGACTCGAAGGACGAGGAGTTTAATAACCGCTATCTACTTAACTGCCTTGCCTTTAACTAGACCTTTACCTTTGCCTTTGCCTCGAGGCGTTAGTTTATCGGGCACCTCTTCTATTAGGTTGTCCTTATTAACCTAACCTTCTTCTTCTATACTATCTTCTATACTATCTTCTATACTATCTTCTATACTATCTTCTATAGTCGCTTGCTTAGCCGACTAAGCGCCTAAGCGCTTATTATCCGCTGCTATTATAGAAGCCCTAATACCGGTTCCCTTACTAATCGCCTCTTATTCGGATGCCGCTACTAGAGCTATACCTTCGTCCTATTAAGGGCCGGGTTTCTTACTAGTTTCCGGCCTTGCTAGGGGAGTAGAATACGTTAGGTCGAGCTTATAAGGAACAGACGAGGCTAAATTAAACTACGACTATAAACTTTGCTAAGATTAAGTGCTTTCTAAGGCTAATTAAGAAGCGGTTTAAGAGCTCTATACCTGTTACGCATTCGCCTCTAGTTAATAAACTAACTAATCTACAAAGACTACTAAGTAAGACTAGCCGCCGGTTGCGACTATTGCGACTGCTATTAAGCCGATTATAAGTAAATAGAAGCGGTCCTTAGTCTGTAAGCTAAATACGTATATAGGTCGATAAAGCGTAGATTCTTAAGCAGACTAGACTATAGAAATAGACTAGATCGCGGCGGCTATAATAGCGACGACTATAGTAGTATAAACGGCGGCGTACTCGGATAATAATACTGCTATATTAGCACTAGAGTCTCTAAATATAGCATATAAGAATTAGGCGGCGAATACTATTATTACGACTAGTATTAAGATAGCTATAAAGCCGGAGGTTAACTACTTCGTACTATACTTCCGTACGCGCTATAGAGTAGATCTAGTTAGCTCTATAGCCCTTTATTTAGATTATAGAAGGCGTATAAGTGCGATAGTATATAATTGCGGTCTATTACTAATAGTTATTATCGTTATAGGTAGTCTAACAATCGATACGCGACTAGAATACGCGTAGCAGTCGACTCTATAGTACGATTAACCTTATAAGCTTCTAACCGTATTTACTTCCAGTTAGTCTACTGCCTACTCTATTCAAGCGGACCTATACCTACCCTTCCTTACGGCGTAGGTAAGATAGGGCTACTAAACTATAGAGGTTAGCTCGAAGTGGTCAGGTATAGCAAGGGGCTAGAAGGCAGTTATTTACTTACTAACCTAATCTATCGATGCGGTATTTTAGAGTTCAGTTGCTTAAACGCTAGATTAAGCTACCTATATAGATAATAACCTATTAGGTCGCCTATTTTAGTTTTCATTATAAAATAGCCGTTTTAGTAGCAATAATCTCTACTATATTAATAGAGTCGTCGTTATATTCTTTTTTAGTTAATATGCTCCTATTCTTAAAATTGTTAAAGTTAGGTTACTACTCTAGTCTACTAGTTCGCTATTATAGAAGAACTAGAAGACGACAATTCTAATATTAGAGGATTTGGTATAGAGAGAGATCTTTTAAAGTATTATTCTATCGACTATCCGTAGCTTTCGTTTCTATAGCTATATCTAGAGATAGCTGCAAGCTATATTATAATTTTTCCGAATTTAGTGTATTATATAGTATAGCTATACTACTATTATAGCTACTGTTTTGCTTTCCTAATCGCTTCTATAGGTACTTATTAAATTTTTAATAATACCTCGGGGCTATAATATCGATAGTACGCGTATACGCCGCCCTTTCGCGAAATTAATACCCTACGCGTACGAAGGGAACCGTATTTAGGCCGTTTTAGATAGGATATTATCCTTATACTAGGACGACGACGATTGCGTACCTAACACTAAATAATAGTCTATCGATAAGTACGCTAACTGTTAGAAGCTTCGCTTTCGATATCTAAAAGCTATAGGTCGTCGTACGTTTACTAAACGATAAGTACTAAATATAGAGATAAAGCCTCCTTAGTAGTTAGCTATCCTAGAATACTACTATAGACGCGAGCCTATAGATTTAGATATACCTATGCGCCTATTATACGTTATTACTAATAATGCCCTTCTTCGTAATATACTAGATCTATCTAATCTACCTTTAGTAGATAGGCGATAGGCGCTAAGCAAATTAGTTTATAAAGAAATGCGGGCTTTGCTAGATATTATTAACGCCGATTAAAATAGTACAGAAGGAGGCTTATAAATCGAGTCGGATAAGACTATAGTATATATAATTATAATAGAATCTATATCTAGTATAGAACTTCGATAGGAGTAGCTTCGGGATTAGTACTAGAGATAAGGAACACGTCGTTATAATAGACCTAAACAGTCCCTCTTAGAGCGCTTCTAAGACTATCTAGAAGTGTATAACCTCTATTAGGCTAGTTAATACCGTAGAATTCTATATATTGCCTATAATTATCGCTACTAGTTAGCTATTACAAAAACTATAGTTTACTAATCTATCCGGCTCGATACGAGTTAATATTACAGAAAGCGAATATATAAGCGATAACTCGGCATATTACTATATCTAGCACTT